TCTGGGGATTGAATTCAGGACCTTGTGCTTGCAAGACAGATGCAGTGCCACTGAAATAAATCCCTATCCCCAATAAATTCTTTATAGTACACGTCTATATTTCAATTTATTAACCAGGATAATATATTTGAAAATCTTAGTGAAAAGTTTAATGATTAAATTCTGTTTGAAAACAAGATTTAAGGACTTAAATAGATGCAGAAACTTTAAAACAACTTTAAAAATACTTGCAAGATAATAAGACAGAATCAAACTACCCTTAGGTTTGGTATCAACAAGGAAGATTGAGGAAAAAAGGAAACACATCACTTGCAAATAAGATTTTACTTCCTATGACACAATTTTCTACTTCCTGATACACAATTTTGTTGTGTGATTTAGCACTCAATTTTTTCCTTCCTAAGTGTACTAGCCAGGCTTCCTGTTGCTGGGATACAATACCAGACGCCTGCTATTTAAAGTTGGACAAGTTTAATTTAGCTCATGATTTCAGAGGATTCAGTCCATGGTTGGCTGGATCCAAGGTAGAAAAACTGACAGAAGAGAGTAACAGAGAAAGGTGCTTAATTCATGGTGGCTGGAAAGCAGAGTAGGGAAAGAGTGTCAGGAAAGAATCCATCTAGGACCATATACAGTGTACTTCTCAAGGTCAGGCATCCATGACCCACCCAGACACATCTAAATGTGTGGTTTACTAATCAGTCAGGTGTTTCATAATTGAATCAAGTTGACATATCACTACTAACATTACACTAAGCATGCTTCTAGACTTTTCAAATAAATAATGGTCACTAGTGATCAGAGACTTTCTCAGCAGAGTTAAAGGACATGTCAGAGTTAGAAGATTCTCATGTGACCATTTTTGTGGAGAAGGTTGTTTTTTTACTGCAGGCACAATGTTTACTGGATGTTGTGATTAAATTCTCTTCCCAAAAGACCTATTTATTCTTCCACTTTGAGGACAATCTATCTCCCTACTTCCTATTATCTATCTTATTTTGCTCTTTATTTTTACACTGCGTTTATCATAATGGAAACAATGTGATATTTAAGCTTGTGTATCTTATTTATTTCACTTAACATTCTATTCTCAAAATGCATCCAGTTTCCTACAAATGACTCAATTTTATCTTTCTTTATCACAGAGTATTACTCTATCATGTGTAAATACCACATTTTCTTTATCCATTCATCTGCTGATGGACATAAGGACTTCTTCCAAGATTTAGCTACTGTGAACTGTAGAAACATGGTTAACCATGTAGCTCTGTAATATGATGTTTTTAACTATTTCAGGAGGATGGCTGGAAAGAGAATAGCTGAGTCAAATGGAATTTCTAGTTTTAGTTTTTTAAGGAATCTCCATATTGATTTCTATACTGGTTTTACTAGTTGGCATTCTCACCAGTAGTATAGAAGGGTTCATTTCTCACCACAGCCTCACCAATATTTGTTATGATTTGATTTCTTGATGATGGCCATTCTTACTGGGAGAAGATGAAATTTCAGTGTTGTTTTAATTTGCATTTCTTTAATGGCCAGTGATGTTGACCAGAGATGGAGGAAGGGGAGAGGGAAAGAAAGGGTAAGGGATAAAAAATAAGGAAATGAGCTGTGTTATGTACATGTAGCCACTTCACACAAGGAATGTAAACATGATGTACTACATACATGTACAAAAAAAAGAAGAGGGTCAAGGGATGGGTGGATGGGGGAGGGAAGAAAAGATAGGGAATTTAAAAAGGAATTAAGATGTGTTATGTACGTGTACCAAATTCCCACAAGGAATGTAAACAGTATGTACTATGCAATGCACTTATAAACTAAAATATAAAACAAAACAAAATGAAAAAGTAAAAATAATTTAAGGACCTGTTTATATGCATTTTTACAGAGGCTTCTGGATCTATATATATATACTCACACATATATATATACATATATATATACATATATATGTATATATGGAAGTGGTGCTACTATGAAACAATTAGCAAGAGAAGTAGAGGTGAAATGCCATTTCTAATTGCCAAGAGGGACTCGAGAATAGTCACAGTTCTGTCCCATTGAATCCAGATCTAATTTCACTTTACCAAGAGGTGCTTCCTGTTAATTCCATGCTTTTTAGTTTTCACAAGTGGCCTGTGCTGTACTGAGATGGAGTAGATAACTATCTCTGAATTTTCTAATTCTGAATGAATGTCAGTTAAAAATTAAGTTGTTGGGGCTGGGGATTTAGCTCAGTGGTTTCGCTGCCCGCTGCACAAGTATAAGGACCCGAGTTCAATCTCCGGTACAAAAAAAAAAAAAATTAAGTTGTTAGGACCTACTCAGTTTATTGAATTATAATTAATAGGGAAGCATCTTTATTTTAATTAGTTTCTTATTATTTCTATGCAGCAAACCTAGCATTTGTAAACACATTGGTTTGACTCTGTTAATGTTTCTATGCCACAATTATGATGCATTATGCATTAGGTGCATTAATGGCAGGACAGGATTAATAAAGGGGTGATAGCTTTGACTTTTCTGTGTCTATCAGATAGAAACTAGGATAGCTAGTCAATTTTTTGGTCAGCAAATTAGCATACCTTGAGATAGGCAAGGCCTAATTGTAATAGATCTGAGTAAAATGACCCAGGGTAGAAATACATAAGGAAAATAAGACTTGAAGAATGGCAGAATTAACTGGATACTTTTATTCTGCAATTTCAGCAGAGAATTGAAAGTCTGTTAATTGGAAGCAAGAGGTAGCTTCTTTTGTGTTATGGTCTCACTGGCTCTGATAGCTGATGGCCTAGTGAATGTGGTTTTCAACTCTAGAAATCCCAACAATCAGGCCTGACAGAAATGGATATGTTCCTTATGGAGGAATAACTTTTTCCTGTGTTTTCTAGTAGAGTTGGGCCATGAGAAATTACGTATGTGACCAGAAATGGACAGGATAATCTTCCTTCAAGGAATAACTTCTTTGAATAAAGGCGGTTTCCTTTCAAGGGGCTTTGGAAAAAGGTAAATATAAACAACCAGTATGGTTCATAGACTAATTCTCAGTAGATAAAGACTCCAGTAGAGGATAAGTTGTTTTCTGGTGCGTGTGTGTGTGTGTGTGTGTGTCTGTGTATGTACGCGCACACCCATGCATGCATGTGCAAGTGTTTGTGGACACATGATTCTTGGGAGCTCCCTGGGATTCTTTGTACAAAAGTTTCTCCTGAATAAAAGAATTGCATGTTTGTTGATTTGGGGGGTTTTTTTGTTTTGTTTTTTGGTACCGGGGATTGAACTCGGGACCTTGTGCTTGCGCACAGGCTCCTGAACCACTAAGCTAAATCTCCGGCCCCGTTTCTTGATTTTTTTTATAATTGAGATATCATTCTTGATCTAAGATACTAATAAAAACCAAAGTAATGATAAATTTTTCTGGAGAGATTCTTTCTTGAGGTATAAAAAATCCAGTCTACCAGTAAGGCATGAGTTTGTGGGAAAGAGCACAATGACTTTCTCTATTTGACGGAGATGATTGAATCTAGCTTTGCGGCCACTCAGATCATCAGCAGATGAAAGCAAATTAGTCCGAGCCCAGGAATGATGAAGATGATAAAATATCATTGCTGTCTATCCACATCCAGGGAGAAGTTAGCATTGTCCTTCATGAAGAAACTGAATCTTTCCATTACTTTTCCTAAGGAAGGACATAGTTAACAAGGTTAATTTAAATGACACAAAATCTATATGATATTACAGCCAAAAAGAAATATAGAGATTATGAGGTAGGGCTTCATCATATAGATCAGAAAACTGGGTTCCAGAAAAGTCTTGCTTTTTCTTTGGGGAGCTTCTGCCCCAGGCAAGAGCAGAATTTCTGCAGCCAAGTGATAATTCCACCCTATCTGCTCCACTCGCTGATCCCAGGACCCACTTATCCTTGATGTCTTAAGGCAACACAACACAAAAGAATTTTGTCAAGGAAAGTGGAGGAGGCCTGTCACTCAGCTTTTCCTGGTCAGTGAGGCCTGTGAGGAAGCTGCATCCTGCATTAGTGAAGAGGACTTCACCATATTTTCCTCTCAGTGTCCCTGGAATATGACTAGTTTTCTGGCCATGAGTCCAGTTTGTGTCTCTCTGAGAGAATCTTTCCTTTTGTGAAATAAAACATCCTCAAAAGAAAAGAAATAGGTATACACATCCTTTTGAGCTCTGACCTAACTTGACATTCTAACTTCCTAGATAACCACAAAAATGAAAAATACAAGATCTAAAATAAGTAGCCAAAGGATAATGGCTTAGGAGAGAGTTAATGATGATATGAAGTAGTTTTGGTGTGAGGTAGTAATCGCTAAATTGTATGTTTTTCACTCAAAAAGGGGACGTCTGCCTGGTTACAGTTTTTCAAAAAACATTGCGCATGCCAAGCAAAATACCTAAACAAAACCTGTCCATGAGATCTTGGTCCAAGTACTTACAGCTTGTATCCCTTATTTTAGATAAAAGAAAAACAATCATTCTAGTTGCCTAGTTTTTCTGAAGGCAAAAAGATACTTAGATCCTTTAAGAAACTGTGGATAAAGGTCTGAGTATGTCTTAGAATCAAGCTGTATCTGAGATTGTTAAGTATATTAGATGTCGTGTAGGATAGCAGTTTGCTATTCTTCTATGGTGTGGCATCCAGGATCCTATCTTTAGATGAGTTATTTTATGGAAAACAGTCAAAAACTGAACTTTCAGGAAGAGATCCTCTGGTGATTCCTGCTTGCTCCTACTGAACCTCTGGACTCCATGGACTTTTGTTTGAGAACTCAGAGTCTTGCAATATTGACAGACAGGAACTGAAGGGTCTGACCCAACTCTTATCTGACTGTACAACAGTTTTCTCTCCAAACTGGCTATTCTGGGTGGGAATAAGTACAGCTTATGGGGAGTTCAGTGGGCTGCAGGGAACAGGAGGGATTATAGTGGAGAACACTGGCCCCAGCCCTCTTTTTCTCCCCACGAAGTACTCACAAGCTTTCTGTACACAAGTGACATTCATTCCCATAAGTGATATAGTCAGAACCGCAAACTGGCAGGTATGTGATGGGGCAAGGGATGGCCACCACTGGGTACTTCCTGTAAATGCTGCAGTCAACCTAGCCAAACACAAGAGATGTCCTCATTTTCTACCCGGCCTCAAGCTAAGTTCCCCTTGGCTGTAAGATCTGGAAGTTTGAGTTCAGATGTTCTGATGTTGCTGAGGCGACTTTTATACAAAATGTTACCTCTGTGACAAACATGAGGACTGGTAACAATAATTCTATTTAGTAATTTCTATGCCAGGCAATTAACTTAAATCTGCAAGAATTTAATTTGCTTAATCTTTAGAACAATTGAACAGGAGAATGTCTACTACTACTTCTACTTAAAGAAAGAAAAATTAAAGCTTAAAAAGAGATATGACTTGTATGAAGTCAATGATTATAAACGCTAGATGTGGGATTTAAATCCAAAGCCTGTGCAACTGAATCAAGGCATTTCTGCAAGTCTCTCATACATTGTCCCTCCCATAAAAACATAACCGATGTCTCAACTGAAAGTCAGCCTTCTCTCTTTTAACTTTGGATTTAAAAGAAATTATTTGGTGGAGAGCATGGTTATTATATTTGTGTCATATTTCTTCACTTGCATCCTGGAGAGCAGAAATATTTCAGTATCTCTGTTTGACTACCCCTTTGATTAATTATACAACCAGACCTAATCATGCATATATGTTTCAGAAGTATTTGTTAGCTAATTAACAGCCAATAGAAACTGACATTAAAATATTATTCAACATACTTACAGTTGTCAAAGCCATACTGTTAACTTCTGAAAGAGACAGACAGATAAAATGTGAACGATGGGGCAAACCATTGAAATCTCATTAATTAATGTATGTTTTGTGCTCTAATTAAAGACTATGCATTTCCCCTGACAATGAGTCTCACCATACTCTCAAACTGATGCAAAATCCCAGCTGTATACCCAGGAAGTTGAATGGCCCTTGTTTCAGGCAAGGGAATTGCCTGAATTTCCTCTTTATTGACTAAGGCATTTTCTGGAGCTTATAATGTCTTTGACAATGGTTGACAGCTAACAGCACTAAATACTGCTGTCATCACTCCTAAGATCCTGAAATCCTCTCCCCATAATTGATATAAGGGAATGGAATGGAACATCTGTAAACTGTTAGAAACTTGTTTTAAATACATACTTTTTCACCACATAAATATCTAGTTGTTGGACTCTGGCCTCTGGAGAATCGTGTTTTATTTTGACCCTCCTACATTGATTTGAGAAGACATCTAAGTTTTTCTGCATGTTTGCACCTGAGCAATGAATCTAATAACACTAACTACTTCCGGTGTCCTTATAAAATGAAGACACTCACCTGAAGTGCTGCAGAAATGGCTCAGTGTGCAGAGCACAAGGAGACCCCGAAGGACCTTCATGGCAGAGATGGCTGTTATGTGGAGGCTACTCTGAGGTTGTCACACAGCTGAATGCCCCATGCCCTAGGAAGGAGGTCATGTTTATATGGTGAGCTTTGGTTCCTCCACCTTTCCTGTGAGGTAATCCAGAGTCAGTTTGGGCTGTGAAAGATCTCAATACTTGTGACATCCTAGGTGGTGTTGCAGTCCTTGTCGCTTAATTGCTACTGCCTATCTGAGCAAGACTTTGATTATTCGAAATGAGAAGTATTTTTCTGCCTGTCCCATGGGTGGGAACTGTTTCTTGGAATTCAAAGCTTCATGTAAAAGAGATTAAGTCTGAGCACTTTGGCCTAGTTGTGAAAAATTCAAATTTCCTTTATTTTACCAAAATGAAAGATATTAACTCAAATTGGACAGATAATAACAGTGTTTATGCTTTGATTCATGGGAAAATTTTGCTTTATTTTCAAAGAAATGAACCTATGTAGCAAGCTGCTGAAAAGAACAGTAACTTTAGCACTCATGAAGCTTGTAGAAGGAGATTGATATATTGCCTTTCACATTTCTAGCTATGAGATCTTGCATAAGTCATTCATAAGCCGTGAGCCTTTGGCAATCAGGAAGGTTTGATGATACTGTGGTAACCTATAACCCAGTGATTTTAGGGACTGAAAACAGCACAACTCTACATGGCGGTCAGCTGATGGTGTTGCATTGCCTTCACTCTGGCTGCCACCTGGGCAGAATTGTCTTTGCTTGGAATACAGTTGTCAGATGAAGTAAAGGTGTATTCCTAACTTTCTTTTTTAGCAGTGAAATAAACATTCTAGCCCAGAAGTGACATGACTGCCATGTGACCGTCACATGGCCTCACTCAGCCAGAGAGGTCAGAGAGTGGATACAATTAACCTTATCTTTTCCCCTCAAGGCCGAAAGGGGAAAATTGGAAGTACAGATGTTCTTCGTTTAATGACCTAGCTGTTTAACAACTGTTGGGACTTAAGACCCACCACTTGGACTTATGACCCCTCTTTTTCTTATACAGTTTTTTACGTCTTGTTTATAGAGCCTCAGTATTTTTCTTGTACACTACACCTTGTTTAGCAGTACTGTAATTTTTGCTGATTGTACTGTATATTACAGTACTGTAGTTTTTATGTTCTGTTATACATTATAGTACTTCATAAGAGCTATGTAAATAAAAGCAAAGTTATCAGGTTGGAGTTTCCTTTGACCATTTCTTTATTCTAAAAATTGTAATGTACATTCTATATGCAATTCATTTAATGACCTAGTAGCAGTGTCAGAACTTGGTAGTTAAATAGTTAAATGAGGAATGTCCATAGTTGGCAAGCAACATAGATACCACCCGTATCTTAAGTTTCATCTCTGTTTGGTGGAGCTCATTGTTAGCCAAATCAGAGTTACATAATGGGAGTTATTCACAAGAAAATCTGTTCTAAAGCTCAATGTATTTAAATATGTTATTTAAATATGTTACAAACATCAGTAAACATACAATGTGTGAAGCTGTAGCTAGCATAGCATGGCATGCTGTTTTACAGTAACCTTTTTTATATATGTTTAAAGATTATACCCTAAAATAGTTTAAAAAGTATATAGTATAGTAAATACATAAATCAGTAACACAGTCATTACAAGTATTATGTACTGTAAATTAGTGCTATATTTTATATCCCTGACAGTGCAGTAACATTGTTTAAATGAGTAGCATTACAAACAGGTGAGCAGTACATTGCACCATAACATTATGATGCCTATAGCATTGCTAGACAATAGAAATTTTTAGCTCCATTATAATCACATGGGATAACCATTCTATATGTGGTATGCTATTGACTGAAACATTGTTATCCAGGGCATGATTGTATATATGTGTGGTTAATGTGTGTGTTTGCACACCCATACATGCGTATGTTGTCTGTTGGGTTGCCAAGATTATAATCAGATCTCAATATATGACAAGTAATGATATGGACTTCGATCTTCATGACAACTCACTGAAGAATGAGTTTTTATTACCCTAATTTATCAGTGAGTAAGTTGAGGCTCAGAGAGGATTTAAGTACTCCTAAGATCATGGAACCAGTTAATAGAGGAGACATGCAGGTTTCAGTGTTGGAAAAAACGTGAAGTTTCTAATAAAGAAAGGTAATTGTTGTTGGTGGTCTCTCTAGAGGGAGATCTGAGTCCCCGGAAAGCACCAACTTTTAAAGAAAGAAAAGGAGACAGCCTGGGGAACGAAGAGCAGTTTAATTCCTCCGGCACTATTTGACAATCACAAAGGAAAGAAGCAAGGCTTTTATACATGTAGGAAAGCAGCTTAGTTATTTTGGATATCATCTTTCTGATTTTAACCTCTGGTGACAAATGACTTTAAGTGACTCATAAAAGCTACAGGGGAATTCACAAGTCCCTTGTTTCTGTTCACCAATCCCGTACATCAAAGAGCACACTGCAGCCCTCTTCTTATCAGATGGTATCAAGAAAGCAGGATGACTTCAGCAGAAATCAAGCCCACTGGCCCACTGCAAACATCACAGATGTGCATAATGAGTCATATCTCTCTCACCACCTGTAGAGTCATTGGGTCACAGTCCTCTGATCCCAGGCAATGGTAAATAAGAAAACTAGGAAAACCTGTTTTTCTCCTGCGAAACTTTCACAAGGTCTCTTAAAGTTTTCTGGCATTCTTTTAACAAATAGACTTGTGGAATTTCCCAGAAACAACTTAATTTTCTCTGTTAAACTTCTTGTGATCAATTCTTACAACTAGATAGCTGAATTCTAAAATTTCCCACAAAATGTAAGTTTTATTGTTTGCTATGAAAGTTTAAAGAGAGTGGATACTGAGAAAAAGCCATTATGCCACTATGTTTCAAGATGAGATGTATTTATTGGTCTGAAAATGCATCTTTAGCCAAGAGAAGTAAGAATGTGATCAAGAGATGATCAGGATGATGTAGAAATATAGGAACAGAAATTCTTTTTAGATGTTCAATTTTCAAAGAGAAGATAAGAATGAAAGAAGCTGAGGCTTCAGCAATATCTTGGAGCAAGAAGAAATGTAAGATACATAGGGTAAGGTGGCTAACTAGAGTCATATAGAAGGGTAGGAAATAAGATTAAGAGTACAGATGAAACACCACTCCCTTTGACATTCAAGACATATATAAGTAGGTGAATATAGAGACTGATATTTTGAAAAGTAGGGAAGGAGAGATGAAGGTGTTGACTGTAAGGAAGGTGTTAAATGCTAACTTTCCTTTGTCCAGTGGAAGAACTGGGTTGCTCTGATAGCTTCAGAAGGATGGAAGAGACTTGGTATAGACATCAATGGTAACATGTTAGATAATCAACAGTGGACAGAAAGATTGATGGCCAGTAGGCAAAGTTAGTACTAGATTTTAGAAGGACCAAATAATACCATGCTGTGTATTTCTCTTAAATTCCATTAAGGCATCTAATAAAAATTGACAGTGTTTTTAAGTATAGAAAGTGAGTACATAAGAGATTTAAGAGGACCGTAAATATTTTGTCAGAAGGTAGCAAGGCTTGGAAAAGTGTCAAGTGTATTCCAGAAAGTGCTGATTGATTTGCAAGGTGCAAACATTTACATGATTAAAGTTTAGGCAAAATATAGACTCAGTAGGTATGGAGAATATGAGCAAAGGCTGTGGCTAGAAGGCAAAATGACAGATTTAATTTTTTAGGGGTAGGGCTGAGTTAATGATCCTCAGGGTATAACCAAATACAAATCTAATGAAGGATGTAAGAAGACTAAGCTCTCTGGATTCAAAAGTGTGAGAGAATTGAGGTCAAGGGGTCAGGTGTGAGGTTGTTTGGGGTGTAAGCAGCTATTTATTGAGAAAGGAACTTTTCCAGGTATATACTGAGTTACAAACTATGGAGGATCTTTTGGAGATTAGAAATGAAGCCTATAAATATAAAAAGTGGCCCACTGAAAGTCAAAGGCAGTTTTTTTATTCCTCTTTATATTCCTGCAAGGAGTGGTGATAGACATTGGAGCCTTGTAAGAGAGGATCACTATGACCTTGGGTCAACCCTGGAGAAGGCAGGGTGAAATTAATGCAGAAGACCACAAAAAATGAAGAAAAGACAGAAGTTTGAGAGTATTGAGAATTTCCCTTTGGTAGATTTGGGGTGTCACAAGAAAGGGCAGGATTCCTCACTGGAGGGCTAGGAAGTGTAAGGGAGTTAAACTGGGGCAGGGTATGTATGAAAAAGTTCCTGGGTCAGTTAGCTGGAGGGACTGAGGGAAGCCAGCACTGCACCTGGGCAATAATCCGGGTACAGAATAGTAGGCTGTAGGATGGGATGCTGTACAAAAATGAACCATGTATGGTATTAAGTACTTACTATGTGCTAGAACTGTGCTACACCTGCTACATGTGTTATCTCATTTAAAACTTAAAACAATCTTGTGAGATAGGTATTTCCCTTGTTATTTCACCAAAGCAACAGAATCTTGGATAGGTGGCCTAGTTTAAGCTAAAGGGACGATGCTTTTTAATCATTCTGGTGTATTGTCTTTGAATCTAAATCTAAGAGGTAGATTTGTAGACACATTGGACAGGAAAATAATAGGAATAAAGCTGTGAGAACCAGAGCAGTCAGGAAGGACAGCTAATGCTTTAAATGAGCATTGGGGGAGCTGGGCTCTAGGGCAGTGTGTGGTGTTTACATGTGTGCAGATCATCTGGAAAGAGGGAAGGGCCCCAGTAGGGAGCAGGACAACTGTGAGCCAGGAGCCAACGTTTCTGTCCTGTCCTCTCCTCCATCTTTCTAAGGAGCAGTCTTGTGACAGTCTTTTCTCCACACTGAGCACCTCTTTTCCCAATATCTAGTGAGATTAATACTCCACTCTTCATGTTTTTAAGTTAAAAATCCGCCCTCAGAACACTAATATGTGCAACAGCAAATGAGACTGAGGAGTGAGGCTAAGTGGGGAAAAGAACTCTGCTTGAACTATGCAACTGTAATCTGTTTTCCCCTCCTTATCATTGCACCA